GAGGACGACTACTGGGGGGGCTCTGGGGGTGAAGACCAGCGGGGGGAGCAGACGTGCCCCGGCGCCGCCTGCCAAGCGCCCCCGGACTCCCGCGGCCCCGCGCTCTCGGCCGGGCTCCCCACCCCTCTGCTTTGCCTCCTGCTCCTGGCGCCCCACCACCTCTGACTGCGGGGCTGAGACTGCAGAGGCCTGGGCGCCCGCCCCAAGTCCAGTCCCAATCCCCGCCCCTGGCCTTGCTGCCTTTCTTCCCCTCCCGGGTCCTCTCTCCCCTGGGACCAGGCCACCTCGTCCTGCCTCCTGGGCTGCTGGCTTAAGGCAGCGCCGAGAGGGCGTGTCCGGTGGCTCAGCTCGATTCTCCCCAACTCTGGCCCTTAACTCGTTCCCATCCCAAGGCTGGAGGGGTGGGGCGCCCCGGGCAGCCGCTGACCCCTTCTCCCAGCGCCCACAGCGGACTCGAGAGGAGCTGTTGTCTGCGAAGCATCTTCCACCAGCCGAGCCTTCGGGAGCTCCGGCAAGGAGCCCCGCGCAGGAGCCCCGTGGAGGGATGCGCAGTTGGGCCGGGCGGACCCCGGGCCCTTGCTTCTCCTAGACCCCCTCAACCTCCCGACGACACTGGAGGAATACTTTTCTCCGACGTCTACCCTGGACACTTGTTAGGGCGCCTGGAGAGAACTTTCCTCTCTGCCGTGGCCCCTGTGTGGTGACGATCCACAGAAGTTGTTTGGGAAAAAAAAAAATTTATTAAAAATTATATTATTTTATCTTCTTCCGCAAGATGTATTGGCTCAGGACTTCAAAAGCGGGAGGAGGGCTTAGAACCAACAAGATATCAGGGCCGGGAGGGTTAGCGAAAGGGGAGCCGATGGTGCCATCGAAGAGCTGCTTGCTGGCGGAAGGTGTGTGCTGCTCCCCTAGGACCAGAAGCTGCAGCCTGAGGAAGAGAGGTGTGGCTCCGGAGTCCCAGTCAGGCCAGATGAAATCTGACCGCCAAGACAGGTGCTGACAGCACCTCGGCTCCTCATTTGCCTGGGAAAAGCAGCTACAGCTGACCCTGAGTTGTCTGGTGCCCGAGGAGCTAAGCCTGGGGAAGGTTTGCAGGAAAAAGCAGTGGCCACCTTTCCCTGCAAGGGAGGAGTCACATAGCTGTCCCTGGTCACAGCCAGCCCAAACATGGCTTTGGGCAAATCTGATAAAGGCATGCTTCCTCAAGAGAACCAGCCCCACAGCAGAGGAAACACAGCAAGCAGAGCCTAAGACTGGATTTCGGCTCACACTTGCTCCCTCTGCTCAGTGCCCCTGTGCAGTGCACAGCCTTCGCAGCTGTACACAGCCACCCTGTAGAAAAATGGTCTCTCTCCCTTGGCTCCTGTGAGGTGGAAGTCATCAGGGATGCACCAGATCAGAGAAGTTCTCCAGGAAGGTTAGAAGAGAGACCAACGGGCCAGGGTGACCAGAGCAACAAGAATCCCAAGTTGGGGGTGCCTCGCTGGCTTAAGGTATGATCAGAAGCTTTGCCTTTCCAGTTTGTGGAGGAGAGGCTGGGGAAAGGGAACAGCCTGGGCCAAGGAGGACCTGGCACGGAGCTTAGGGGTGAGTCTTATCAGACAAAAGCAGTTGGGGAGATGTTTGATGGTTTATATTTAGGGGTTAAGAATCTAACTGGGGAGATAAGAATTGAAAGAGAGGGGACCTGGATGCCAGAGCTCATGGAGGAAAGATGTTGAGATTCTGTGACTCTGGCCAGGCAAGTCAGAAGGATAGTGAGAAGAGGCAGAAATGAGAAGGAGTCAATATCTAAGGCCCGAGGCAGGTGGACTTTGGGTAAGGCTGTGTGTGGGTTGGGTTGGAGGGTAGGGAGAGTGGCTAGCTGGTCACAAACCAGGGAGCCGGAGCCTGGGGTCTCACAAGGGCCTGTGTCAGGCTGCCTTTGAAGAGGCTAATGAGTGGTACTAGCCAGGCAAGGGCTCTGATGAAGGAAGGGCTGCTGGGGCCTGGGCAGGGGAGGGAGGATGCTGGTAAATCAGCAGCAGGCTGTCCAGGTCACAGAATTATCGCTGTGAAATATTCATGGGCCTTCGGTCTAGATGCTATTTCAGAACAGTGAAAGCAAGAGGAGTGTGTGAGCCTCAGGAAGAAGCCTACAGCAATGCCGTTTCCCACCACCCCTCCCCCACCAGCCCAGACAGACCCACGGACAGGCCCATCACGTGCCCACCCATGCTCACACGCTCTCTCACACACATTCCCACAGAGCAGAGCTACGGAGCACGTGCAAGCACGCCAACGCCCACGGGTCCCACAAACAGGCAGATGCACTCCAAATACTGACATGCATGTGCAGCCACTCAAGCTGGATCCTGCACAGAGACCACTCCCAGAGAGCTCACATGCACAGACCCTCAGCCTCTCCAGACCACCTAGAATCGCAACCTTGAGCCACACCTCGAAACCGGAGGGGCTTTCAGGGCCATCCGGTCCAACTCCCACCAATGCTCCCACCAAACAAGGGAAGGCACTTGTCCATGATGCCCCACCCCTGAAAGAAAAAAAATTCATTCACTTCCTGCATTGTGTTGGGTGCACCCACATTTTGCATTCTCTCGTCTGCCTGACACCCAGCCTAAATGTAGTTAACCCCTTTCTTCTCCAAGCTTCTGTATCTCCTCACTTACCCAGTCCCCGTCCCAGCCCTAATCCATCCCTTCCTTTCCATTCCCCCTGCCACCTCCCTGCTCCATCTCATTACCTCATGCCTAGAATATAGAAGAAAATAGCAATAACCTCCTCTCTGGTTTTTCTACATTCAATCTCTCTCTCCCTCCCACCCAGCCTGCCCATGGTGGCCAGATTCAGGCTGACCAAAATTTGCATTACGTCATTATGTTACTCAGGAACCTACAATGGTTCTCTGTTGTCTACAGATTAAAGATAAAACACCTTCAGAATGTGGTACCAATGGCCTTTCTAGCTTTTTCTCTCATGGCCTCATCCCAAACCTCCACTTCAGCTAGAATGATTGAATAATGCTGGCCATCAGTTATTACGCACTTGAAACCTATAACTTACCTTGAACTCTCCCTAAAGTTCCTCGAACTCCCTAACACTGGGAACCCTCTCCCCATCTCCTCAGATGACAGACTTCGGAGCCCTTCCCCAAGGCCAAAACTGCCTCCCAGTGACCTTATCAATGGGGATCCTTTCACTGTCCTTCCAAGCTGCGGGTAGAGGCTTAGGAGGGGCTGCCTCCAAGCAGATGGCTGCCCCCAACTGGCCCCCTTGGGAACTACACCCAGGCTTCAGTCCTGCTAAACTGAGAGCGAGCATCTATCTATCTGGGGAGAGAAATAGAAGGACGCCAGATGACAAGGTTTATAAGCCCTTAAGCCTCTAAGGTTCTTACACTAGGAGTGGGGGGAGGGTTCTCAGCACTGCTTTCTGAGCTGCTGGCTCCTGACTTTAGCTCCCTAATCCACGAGAGAACCCCTCTCCTATAAAATACAAAGACTTGGGGCTCCCAGGACACTACTGAAAGGAAATGCATTCACCAGGCTCTGAGAGGCCACAAGGCCAGGGACAGTCCAGGTGGCAGGCCCAAGGTCCAGCTGGGGTCAAGTTTCTACATGAATTTTTAATGCTTCCAGCCAGACCTGTCAGATGTTCCGAAACCTGAGCAACTCCTGTCATCTCTGTACGTGATGTCCTTCCCCATCCCCACTGTCCCTGGGGGTGGGGCAGGAAGGGCAGGCGTGGGGCAGCTACCCAGTGGCCTCTGGAGGAATGAAGAATGACCTAGTTATTCCCCCACTTACTGTGTGACCTTTGGCAAGCTACTTAACCTCTCTGAACATCCCTTGGGCCTTACCTTTTTTCTCTTTTTTTCTTTTTCATTTGTAACCCGGGGCAACAGTGCCTGTCTAAATTGAGTTGTTGTGGAAAGTAAGTGCATAGCCCATGGAAAGGTGACCTACATGTTTGCTGTTATTATCTCTCCTCAAGTCCTGCCTCCCTCCTGTTTTCTTCCAACCCGAGGTGCCTCAGCCTCTCTTGTTTGGAGATAAGGACTTTGGTTGGCCCTGCCGTCACCTGCTAAGATCCAAACTGCCCATCCCAAGATCCTCTGGCCTTCTGATGGAGAGGAGGAAGGGAAGCAAAGAGAGGTTTGGCAGAGAGGAGAGAAGCAGGCGGCAGAGAAAGGAAGGGTAAGACCCTGCTCAGAGAGAAGAGCTAGGTGCAGACTCACTTTCTCTCTTTCTCCTCCCTTCTTCCCTTCCTTCCCTCCTTCCTGGTACCTTCTCTACCTCTGATCCTGTAGTACCGGAAGCAGGGGTGGCCACACTGAGCAGAGGTGAGGCCAGGAGCATGGGGGAAGGGCTGGGAGTAGGAGGCTGTTGAAGGAGGCTTGTCAGCTCACCAATTCCCTGCAAGGTGTTTAAAAATTAGAGCCTTTTACATCTAACTTAGGTGAGAAGCTGCTAAATTCAGATTCCTGAGCCCCTCAGATGTGCTGAATCAGATCTCTCTCTAAGGGGCCCCAGAACCTACGTTTCAACAAGTGAAGTGGGTTACAAAGCTCTCTAGAGGTTGAGAAACGTCTCAAATGTGGGTTGTCCATGGGGGTGGGGGTGGGGTGAAGACAGGAGAAAGCAAAAGGATAAAAGTTAGACACCCGCCCCCCCCCCCCAGAACGCACACTTCATAGAAGTTACAGACGAGACTCCTGCGTGGATAGGGTGATGCCAGGGATGGAGAATAGAGATCAGGGGAGACAGATGGGGGCGGGGGACACAATGAGGGTGACATCCGGGGTAAGCAGCCACAAAGGAAACACACTTGCAGGCTGCATCCCCTCTAGGCGATCTGAAAGCCTGAACTTCCGATCCCAGAATGTGGAGATCCTGGAGGAGCCCCACATCCCTTTTCTGGGGCGAAAAGTCAGAGAGGAAACCCTGCCCCCTCAACCCCAGGGACCAGAAACGGATACACACCTGCCAATCTCTGGCCAGGGCCCTCCAGCCCTCCCCTCGAAACTGGCTCGGGTCCAGCACCCATCTGACCTTCTCCCTCCCTCTACCCCCAACCCTGATCCCAGCTCATCTGCATAAAGTTCCAATTAACACGTTTTCCCACAGCTATTTAGATCCCTGAACACGCTCCAAGCTCAGGAGCCCGCTTCCCCCCGCCCCCTCGCCCCCCGGAGTGCGGCCCCATTAACCCACGCGACCCGGGCCGCTCCCCGCGGCCTTGACCCAGACTGGGCCCCCTCCGGCTGGGGAGGGGCTATGGAGTGAGGGGCGCGCCCCGGGGCGGGTGACGGCGCAGTGGGGTCTGTCGCAGGCCGGAGGCCAGGACTCTCTGGGAAAAAGGCCGGCACTGCCTCTTCCCACCCCTTTCCGTGAAGAGTGGGGAGGGGGGCTTCTCCTGGGAGACTCGGGCGTCGAAATTCTTGGTTCCTCATCCGTCGGCCCCCGCACCCCTCCTCCTCCCGCCACGTACCCTCTCCCCTCCCCAACCATCTGTTCCACTCGGCAGCGCCGCGACAAACACGGCTCCAGCTCGCTTCCGCCCCTGCCCAGCCCCCTCCCCAAGCTCCGCACCCGGCGTGGCGAAGTGAAGAGACACCCTCCCCCAGGAGGCCGAGGCTTCTGCCTGCCTCGCCCCCTGGGTCCCAAGCCCCAGCCCGGCAGGGGCCAGCGCCGGGACCCCCCTTCCCGCGTCGCGAGGATCGGTGGGGCTGGAGGTACCGCTTGAAAGGGTGGGGGTCGGATAGGACGTGGGAGATCTCAAACGAGAACAGCGCAAGCCAGGGGAGGGGGTGGGAGGTCGAGACCCGGGGGATGCGGCAGACTTGTGGGTAGGGGGCGCGTGTGTGCATACGTGTGGGGGTTCCCTTCCTGGCTCGCTGCCCTCGCCCACCCGGTCCCAGCCTCGAACACGCAGCGCCGCCTGCTGGGCACGCGTTGTACCCGGCGCGCTCGCGGGGCTTCCCCCGCCCGCCCTCACCCCGAATCTGGTGGGATCGCACCGCCTGCCATTCACCGCTTACAATCGGCCTCCACCGAACTTGGGAAAATCGAAATCTGGGGCAAAGGCCACAGTGGGACCGTTGCAGGCCCTTTGGGACCCTGCCCAGCTCAGCAGTGCTGTCCAATTCCTAGTTGGTATTTTTCGAAAAGGGCGCTGTGTTGAAGTCAGGAGACTGGGCTCAGATCTGCTGTGACTTTGTCAAGTCTCCAGACACCTTCAGGAGATGTTTCTCATCCGTAAAATGGGTGGTTCAGTCTTTTTCATTAACTTCTAAAGAGTTGAAGACGAAGGGAAGACTTATCTGTAATAGTGTCTTCCAGTGGTAACATTCCGGGGTTCTCCAAGGTTTAGGGGGCAAGGTTGGGAAGGCCTTAGAGAAGGCAGCTGAGAAGCCTGAGACCTCCGTTCTGCTCCTGACTGCCCTGGCGGGCCTGTGGTTAGGACCCAGCCGTCAGACCACCCAAGTTCCAAGTTCAGCCCCACCACCTACAAGCTGACTGTACTTGGTGTTGTGCCCAAACCTTTCAGCATGGAGTTAAAGGACCTCTAGGACTGTAATAAGGATGAAATAAAGATACTTGTGGAACACAGGCAGATCCGCAACAAATGTTAGTGCCCCTCCTATCCCATCCCTCCATTCTGTGACTTACTCTAGCCTCTAAGGTTTATGTCTCAGGGACGCGAACAGGTATAGGAGTAGGATAAATAAGGCATATCTTCCCAAAATGTTTCCGGTCCTCCGAGATGGTGTCCTCCCTTGATTCTGGTAATTTTAAAGCCTCACTTTCATGCTAAAAGTAAATATAAATATAGTATAAAGTGAAGCTCAAAATTTGCATGACGTTTTGAGATAAAACGGGCCTATACAAAAGTTACTTTCAATGGGGCCCCAGGGATGGTTTGGTAGGAAAGCTTGAGAGTCATCCATTTTTTCTAAAGCACCCTGCCCTGATCGCATGTGAAAAAAGGCCAGACTCCCCGATGTACCCCAAACCCTCGGAAGTGCGGGGTGGAAACAGAGGGCAGGATCTGGATCCGGACACTAGGGCAGGACACAGCTGAGAACAGGGAGGTGAGCTGGCCGGCGAGAGCTGGCCAGGCTGGCACCTCAGGTGTCCTATTTAATGCCCAGCCTGAGTGAAGAAGAGGGGTGGGTGTGGGAGAAGACACCTCCCCCCAAGACACAGGCACATACCAGCCAGTCTCTCACTTCCTTTTCTATTTCTTCTAAGATCTGCAAGAAGCAGCACCAGGGAGGGAACCTGCCCTCCAGCTCCTGGAAGGGGTCTGACCCCCCCACAGCCCATCCAGGACACAGCCGGCACCCCAGGTCCCTTTCTTCTGAGGGGAAAAAGGTTGTTTCACACACACATGCACATGCATACATGTGCACACACACGTATATGCACACTCTGGGGATTGAACAGTGGGGACCTTAGGGGTAGCCTGTTTGCTGATCCCACAAGCCCCCAGGAGGCACCAAGAGGCAGGCCCCTAAGACGAAGGCCCAGAGAAAGGACAGCCCCACACCTTGGTCTCCAATCTGAGGAAGAGGCTCCATTCTTCTAGCACAAGGGCCGTCTTCAGTCAAGAGCGCATCACTCTGGGGGATTTTTTTAGGGTGTTCTTTTTTTCCTTTTAGCAAGTCTCTACAAAAATAGAACTTCTCTTGGTATTTATAAATCCACGGCCCCTGGCTCTGTGCGTATGGTACAGGTAGAAAAGCCATATGAGGCATTCCCTTTGGTTGCTCAGGCCTTGGCTGCCTGTCATCCAGGTCCTGTGGCCTCAGAGGTCTATGCCGCCGGGCGCCTTTAGTGGGCCCTCCCAGTCGGTGGCGTGCTCCCTCCGGAGCAGGGCACGGTAGTAGAAGAGGTAGGAAGGGAGCAGAAATCCCAGGAGTGAGGATAACAGGAGGCCCACATTCACCTTTAGGGCAAAAGAGAGAGACAGAGTCAAGTAGGTTCCCATTCTCCCCGCATTTCCCTCAGGGACATGCCATAGCCCCCCCCTCCCCCAAAAGGAGGCCAAAGCAGCCATTTCCCTCCAGGCCCTGGTCTAGAATGAAAAACTTCGCTAGCACTTCCTGTGTTCAGTCACTGTTCCAACTGTATCTCATTTAATGTCACGCAGCCTTGGAAATTGGCAGAGCTGGGTTTGAATCCTGGCTAGTGCCAGTGCCAGGCTGCTCCTGAAATAGGAACTTCCATGTTGGGAATCTGGACCTCTGAGGATGCGGACAGTGGGACCATCTGAGGTGGTAAGAAGAGGCTCCCAGGGGCTGGGACACATGGTCAATGGGACAGAAGGCTCAGGAGGCCCAGCACAGGGGCCTCACGGGGGCTTGGACTCAGTCACATCCCGCTCTGCATTACTTGCCCCCTGACCCTAGGCAAGTCATCTCGACTTGAAGTGCCTTGTTCTCAGCGCTTCGGGAGCAAAGATTAAGTGATAAAAGTACACGGTGTTATTCACCAATGATAGATCCGAAACTTATAAAGAACTCTTAAAACTCAACACCAAAAAACCCCAAACAGTCCGATTTAAAAAATGGGCGGAGGATCCGAATAGCCATTTCTCCAAAGAAGACGTACAGATGGCCAACAGACATGTGAAAAGGTGTTCAATCATCAGAGAATTGCAAATTAAAACCATAATGAGATATCCCTTCATACCTGTCAGGATGGCTATGATCAATAAATCAACAAATAACAATCGTTGGCAAGGATGTGGAGAAAAGGGAACCCTTGTGCACTGTTGGTGGGATTGCAAATTGGTGCACCCACTGTGGAAAACAGTCTGGAGGTTCCTCAAAAGATGAAAAATAGAACTACCTCATGACCCAGCAATTCCACTTCTGAGTATTTATACAGAGAAATCCAAAACACTAATTCGAAAAGATATATGCACTGCACATGCCTTGACCACAGCACTATTTACAATAGTCCAGATATGGAAGCGACCTAAGTGCACAGCGATAGACAATGAGATAAAGAAGAAGTGGTACATATAGACGATGGACTATGACTTGGCCATAAAAAATACGAAATCTTACCATTTGCAACAACATGGATGGACCTAAAGGGTTTTACGCTGAGTGAAATAAATCAAAGACAAAGGCCATATGATCTCACTTACATGTAGACTCTAAAGAACAAAATATATGAACAAACAAAACAGAAACAGACTCATAGATACAGAGAACAAACTGATGGTTGCCACATGGGAGGGGAGTTGGAGGGCTGGGTGGTAAAAGTGAAGGGATTATGAAGGACAAATTGGCAGTTACAAAATAGTCACAGGGATGTGAAGTACAGCACAGGGAATACGGTTGATGATATTATAATAACTATGTATAGTGCCAGGTGGGCACTAGAGTCATCGGGGGAATCACTCCGTAAATTATGTAAATGTCTAACCACTATGCACCTGAAACTAATGTAAAATAATATTGTAAATAATGTAAAATAATATTGAATGTCAACTCTAATTGAAAAAAAAGTACATGGTGTGCTTAGCACCTGGTGAGTGCTCCATAAATGGTAGCTGTCTCTTCGTCATTGTTCTTGTAGGAGAAGGGTTTATAGCAGTGGGTGGCTCCAGCGGGCAGAGAGATCAACTTTCGGGAGGCAGCTGTCAGTTCAATGTAAGGAAAGCCTTTCCGACTGTACCGATGTCTGCCACCTCTTACAAAAGAGGTGTCTGTTACCGAGGGCATTGGGCAGAACCCCTTCTCAGGGGTGCTGGACAGGGTCTCTGCATTGAGGGGAATGAGTTGGATCAGGGCTGGGCCATTTCACATGTCAACTGGGAGCTTATGAAAAACAGACTCCTGGGCCCAGGTCAAGAGGCACTGATTCGGAAGGCTGGAGAATGTGTGTTTTTAACACTCTGCGGGGGGTTCTGATGGGCAGCCAGCTTGGGAACCCCCAGCTTAGAGATTTCCAAGGCACCTCCAGGCTGAGATGAGAGAAGGAGTTCCATCACATCCAAGCCGCCCTGCCCCGCCTCCAACTCCCGGGCTGCACCCAGGAAAGGGGCTCCTGTTACCACCATGACACCCTCCGTTCTCACCCAGAAGGGGTCTCCTTTCAAAGGCCCCACCATGGCCATGAAGAGCGGGTGCTGGAGCAGGGCGAACACGGCACTGATGAGGGACTGCAGGCCCGTCAGTGTCCCAAAGTGGTTAGACGGGAACCTGTCAACGAGAGGGGCCAAGTATAAGGGGCGTGTGGCCCTCCCCGGCCCTGTCCCCCGCTGCACCCTTTCAGCCAGGCACGGTGGAGCGTAAGAGTTTAGGCTCTTGGCAGGTGCTCTTTGGCCCCTGGCCTGGACAGGGTACATGTCACGACTTCAGGGCCACAGAGCTGCTTCCGCGATCCCACCTCCTGCCCGTGTGGTCATAGCAGGTCACTCGACCTCTCTGAGCCTCCCTTCCTCCACTAAAACCAGGGATGAGCCCTCGTTTCACTCTCCGTTTATTCTTTTAACAAGTATTTATTGAATTCCCGCTATGTGCCAGGTGCCGATCTAGGTCCATGGAGAGTCAGCCATGAACCAAACGAAGATTCCTCTCCTCGTGGAGGTGGCCTTCTGGTGGGGCGCATGGGAGTCACCCAATAAGCGAGATAAAGGCGTAGTGTGTTCGATGGTGATAAGGACCACGGGGCGAGGTTAGGCAGAGGAAGGAGCTGAGGGTACCAAGGGGGATGCAGTTGTAGATAGAACGGCTGGGGAGGCCTCGCTGAGTGGAGGACAGCTAGGTAAAGACGCGGAGGTGAGGCAGCTGGACGGAGAACGTTCTAGGAAGGGGGATCGGCAAGCGCACAGGCCCAGGCCCCCAGCAGGAAACACGCTTGTGGTTTCTCAAGCACTGAGGTGGCCACGGGGGGAGGGGAGTGAGCGAGGTGGGGAGGGTAAGAAAGAGGGCAGCGAGGTAGGTCCCAGCGCCACATCCTGCAGGGCCTTTTAAGCCACAGTATAGCCTTCGGCTCCTTCTGTGGGCGAGACAAGACGCGGAGTGCCGTGAAGAGACTTATGTCTTAACAGGTGTCTCCAGCTCCTGTGTTCAAAACAGCCTGAGGGGAGGCAAGGGCAGCCGCAGGGGGGACCATCCAGATGCTGCTGCAGTAATCCAGGACTGGGGGGTGGGGGGCTGCGGCAGACATGACAAGAAGGGAGGGATTCGGGCTACGTGGGATGTGGGGTGCGGAGCTGGCGGGATCGCGGCCAGACCGGATGTGGAGTGTGAGGAAGAGAAGGATGGAGGGTGACCTCGCAGTTTTGGCCAGAGCAAATCAAGGAAACGGAGCTGAGACGGCTGTCGTGAGGCTGAGATGAAGGAGTGCTGCTCAAGTGTCCTGGGCTGTGCCTACGACAGAAGCAGCACTCAACATCCGCTCTGGTTTTGTCGCCGCTATCGTGATACTGCTCCATCGCACACACACGAGGGAGAGTCACTTGGCAACGCCTGGCAGTGGGAACCAGAAGAGAAAGGAGACAGAGAACTGGGGGGGCCGTTCGACACGAAGCAGGAAAATGATAAGGCAAACAAGACAGCTGTCTGGGAATTTCTACGGGGCCACTTTGGGGGCCATTCCAGAGAGCAGATGTAGTACCAAAGTGTCATCAAAACAAGTATTTCGGCTTCCTCCGAGGAAAGACTCTGACAGAGGGGTTGTCTTGTTGCAGGCGTAGGCTGCCTCTGAGCAGTGAGCTCCCCATCATCAGAGGAGCTCAGAGATGGCAGTGGACAGGACAGGCTCCGAGATCCCCGCCGGTCCTCTGCAGCCACCCCACGCTCCGAGATGCCAGCATTTCAGGGTGGCTGGGGAGGGCACGGCTACCCAGGGTGGGAGAGGTGTCTTAAGGGGTATCTGGGGTCCTTTCGGCTCTGCTCTGGGACCCTCTTGTTATAGGGGTGCCTCAGGAAGGGCTGACTCACACTGCAGCATAGAGGCCTCCACAGGCCGAGTGGTAGAAACCTCGAACCATGGTGTGCAGGACAAAGGTCATAAACTGGAACCAAAAAAGGGGAGGGAAGAGGTTAAGAGTGGGCGTGGCGGCAGGACGAAGGGTGGATGAGGAGATTGGGACACGGAACCTCGCCAAGCCCGGCCACACCGGCCCACCCTCTCCATGACCCCACCTACTAGAAACACTTCCTGAAAAACCCAGGAAATAGACCCAGAGGACAAGAACCATGTTTCCTGGAAGGCAGGCGCCCCGGGAACTGTCCCTCTGGAGGGGTCCTAGGAGGCAGGGAAAGTGGGGAGGATGGGGGTGGGTACCTGGAGGTGTAAGCTCTTAATGAGGCAGGTGATGCCAAAGGCCACAAGCAGGAAGTTAGTCAGGGTGAAGGCGCTGATGGCATTGGTGAGCTTTTGGATCTTGCGATAGCGCGGTCTGGCGGACTTGGTGGCAACCCCGTCCCTGAGGAGAAAAGGCCATCATCGGCCGCTGCCTCTACCTCCCCCGCAGCCGCCTCCCCACCCCCAGCCCGGCCCCTCCCCCTCCCGCGGTGCCTTTGCCATCAGGGCAGCAGAAAAAGGTGAACAGTGCATCTCCAGCCCTGCATGTCTCAAAGTGTGGCTCCCCCACCAACACCACCAGCGGCCTCTGGGGCCTTCCTAAAAAATGCAGATGCCAGAGCCTCACTCCCACCCGAGACTCACGGGAGTGGGGCCCAAGGATCTGCACTCAGACAAAGATCCCAAGTATTTCACATGCACAGTGACGTCTGAGACTCGAGGATGGGAAGGAAGGCGGACAATGGGGAGCACTCACACCCTCTCTCATCGGAAGCCCCAGCAAAGTGTCTCTGCCCACCAGAATAAACGAACGTGACTGCCCGGCAAGCCCCTCTCTGTGGCACAATCAAGGGCTCTGAGGCTGGCCCAGGGGAGAAGTCATGGGGCTGGGATGAGGGCAGGCTGCCCACTGGTCCTAGACAGAAGGGCCCTGCTAATGGACCCTGGGCATCAGGAGCAGGGGGCAGAGGAAGAAGGCTGGGTGCCAGGGCACCACTGCTGTGGAGGGCACTTCATTGTCCCTTAGGTGCCTCCTCTCCTGGTCTCCCTCCCCTAGCCTCTCGAGGACGACGGGATTAACACAAAAAGAGCACAGCAGTCAGAAGACCTCGGTTCAGGATCTGACAGTGGTCTCCAGCCAACAAGACGGCCCCCAGTGAACCCCGTCTGCTGGTATTCCCGCCCTGTGGAGTCCCCCTCCACACTGTTCCGGAGTTACTCTGTGTAACTGACAGAACACCACAGAAGCAATGGCTTGTCGCTTTGGAGATTACATTATGAAAGACACCGCAGCTTCTGTCTGGGTCTCCCTCCCTTAGATTTCACTCTGGGGGAAGCCAGCTGCCTCGTCCTGAGCATCCCTGCTAGACAGGCCCAGGTGGGTGGGGTGGAAGCAAACTTCTCGCCAGCAGCCCCATGAGTGAGCTTAGGATCAGGTTCTCCAACCCCTGACAACACTTCAGATGGCTGCAGCCCCAGCCAACAGCTTGGCTGGAACCTGGTGAGAGATCCTGCTACCGTCTGAATGTTGGTGTCCCCCCCACCAACATTCATATGTTGACATTGTGATGCCCAAGGTGATGGGATCAGGAGGTGGGGCCTTTGGGAGGTGGCGAGGCCGTGAGGGTGGAACCCTCCTCACGGGATCAGTGCCCTTATAAAAGAGACCTCTCAGAGCTCCCTAGTTCCTTCTGCCACGTGACAAGTCTATGACCCAGAAGAAGAGCCTCACTCAACCACACTGGCACCCTGATCTCAGACTTCCAGCCTCCAGAACTGTGAGAAACAAATTTCTGTTTATAAGCCACCAGTCTGTGGTATTTAGTTATAGCAGCCTGAACAGACCCAGATAGCCTCTGACAGAGCCACCCGGCTAAGTCATTCCCTGACTCTCAGAAACTATATGAGATAATAAATGTTTGTTATTTAAAGATGCCAAGTTTAGGGGTAATTTGTTATGTAGCAATAGATACCCAATATATCCACTCCATCTCTTCCTAGCCTTAAGAAAGGTTTAGAGCGTACCCTTTACAACATAGGTTCTAGAGCCTGCTACTAAAAACTGTGTGATCTTGGGTAAGTTACTTAACCTGTCTGTGTCTCAGCCTCCTCCTCCTCCTCTGTGAAATAAAGATAATGTGCCTACCTCAGAGAACTATTGCAGGACTAAATAAGACAATGCAAGGTGCTTAATGCTCAGTCAGCTATACTCATTAACAAGCAAGCCATGTCCCCTCCTAGCCTCAGTTTCCTCATCTGTATAATGGGGAGGTACCCCTGCTCCCCCGGGGCTCTTGGGAGAATGAATAAGATGCCGGATGTGAAAGCACACAGAAAATGAAAAGCACCGTCTAGCCACTTGCTGTCACCAGCCCTGTGTGGGTCACCTGGCGTCACTGAGGGCAGTGAGTTCGGCGGGGGTGTCCACGCAGTCCTTGATCTTCCAGTCCATGATGCAGCCAATGAGAGGGCAAGTGAGAAGGCACAGCAGCTGCATGACCCCAAAGACGAAGGAGTAGAATCCAACTGGGCAGGGCGGGAAGGGAAGTGGGGTCAGAAGCTGGCACGGGGGATGCCAGCCGCCCAGTGGGCACCACCACCCACTTCCGGTGGAGAAGAGAGAGAGCCAAATAAGCCCTTCTCTGACCCCAGATCCTTAGCTCCCCCAAACGCCCAAGGTGGCAAGGGTGGGTGCAGGCCAAGGGCCTCAGCTTTTGTCTCCCTACCTGTCCCTTCTGCCTTCTGTCTCAAGTCGACAGTCTCTGTTGGGGGTCGGGGGGTGGGGGGGAGCCAGGGTAAGAAGCCAGCCAGGGTGGCTCTGCTGTGCCCCCCACCCCCCATGGGCTCAGCAGCACCTCACCATGCTCCTGGCCACTGGTGACCACCAGGTGCTCTAGCATCTTGTTCATGGCGGCCATGTAGAAGATGACTCGCAGCTGGGTTACGCCCATGGTGAGGAGGCTCCACAGGAAAATGGGGGAGCAGAGGCTCTTGCGGAAGGAGACGGACTCTGGGGGCACAGCAGGGGGCACCCCTGAGCCCCAGATCTTCCATTTCCCTCTGAATGTCCCAGCCGATGCAGTTCTAGTGAGGACTCTGCCGTTATGTGACTGTGGGTACAGACTGGTTTCCTCAAAAACAAGGGTTCAGACTCAACTGGCCTCCAAGTTCTTGCCTGGCTCTGTAACTGTCTCAACAGAACATTTTCAGGTAACCTCTGAATTTGTAAACCCTATGCTTAGTGTGATACATAACTCTGGCTACCGTGTATTAAGCACTTACCATGCGAAGCATGCTTGACACATTTTACCCCCATTTAACCCAATCGCACAGCACCGCTATCTTTATCACATTTTACACACGGGGTGGCTGTGTGGCTCAGGGAGTTCGGAGAGTTGCCTGAGCTCACAGAGCTGGGAAGCTGCAGGGCACACCCACAACTCGGCCATGAGAGGACCGGCAGTGGGGATAACACCCCATAACTTCACAGCGTTCTGCAATTTACAAAGAGCTTCCGCCACCATGGTTTCATCCAATCCTCACAACTACCCTTTGAAAGGTGGGCGTTATTAGTGCCAGTTTTAGAGATGAGGAAAGTGAGAGCAGGGTAAGTGATCTATCCAAGTCACGTGGCCTGTAAGTGGGCAACGGGACTCAAACCCCTATCTCCGGACTCCAAGGCCAATGCTCCTTCACTAACCTCAGAGCTGACACCTTGGGAAGTGGCCCCGGCCGAAGGCAGGTTGCGGCTCCTCCTGCAGCCAGCAGGGGGCACCAGCCAGGCATTGGAGGACCGGGCCTGGAGGCGGGCTCACGGGGTGGTTTGTACTGCATGCAAGAGGCTCAGGCTTTGCAGGAAGTCTTGATGAAACCAGCTGGCCCGCAGGCCTAGAGACCCTGCCCCATTCTGGAAGCTCCTTCCTGCACCCCAAGGAATCCAGCAGAGCACCCCTAAATCTGAACTCCCCAGAGTTCTCTAAGCTCTGATTCCCGCCCACCTACATCATGGAGTGGTGTTGTTAGAACTGAAGAAGGGAGAGGCGAGCTCTGGGGCATGCATGCTCACTAGGTGTGAGCACCCGCCCTCCCCATCCCCCAAGGCCGGCACCCTGACCAGACAGACACTCACTCTTGTGACGGTTTTCTGAGGTGCGATGAACGTCCTGGGAGGAGATGTTGATGCCATCCCCCTCCATGCTGGGGGCCTTCTGGCTCAGCCGCTGGCCCACGATGGTCACATGGGTGTAGAAGCGGTCACCTGTCACCTTGTGATCCAGGGCCAGCCCGGTGAGCTTGATCTTCTTCCTGCCAGCAGCCAGGCGGGGACAAGTGGGAACCAGCCCCACAGAGCCCCCCTCAACAGCCTACCTCAAGGGGGCTGTCCCAGTCACCCCAGGGGTGCTGAGCACCCCTTACCCAGCTCTGACATGCCCACCGATAAGCTCCCTGTGCAGGGCCCACTTCCAGGGACCAACTTAGCACCCAGGAAGTGAAGGTGGACTAGTTGTTTTCCACTGGGGCTGTTGCCACGAAAGCAGCATTAAGAACTCAGACTGGAGTCAGAGAGCCTGGTTCCAACCTTAGATTCATTCCCTTTTCAATGGTATGACCTTAGGAAAGTGACTTGGTTCCCCGCACCTTTGTTAATGGAGTTAAGAGAATCCACCTCATAGAGCTGTTTGAAAATGGTGTGAGGGCTAAACAGTGCCTGCCATACAGGAGACTCGATAGACACCAGCAGTTTAACGGGCACCCTATGTGCCCTGTGGAGCATCACACACACACGTGTCCCCTGGCGAACTAACAGGGGGTCAAGAAAAGATGGCATTCGGGCTGTCCCACAAAGTGTAGGGTATTTGATTCCTTTGTATTCCCCTTCTAGGTCCACAAGGCACGTGGCATGATTGCTGGGGGTCCCTCCTACTCTGATCTCATCTTCCAAACCCAGAAAGGATAATAATAACAACAGTCACCAGGTTTTGACCGTCTATTATGCTCCAGGAGAGGGGGGTGGTAGGATCGGGCCCGGAACAGACGAGAAAGCAGAGCTCGGAGTGCTCAGGTGATTTGCAAATCCAGTCTCTCTGACTCCACAGCTGATTCTGTCCCCC